ATGCTAATATAGATATAGAGCAGAAGAGATGTGGGGAGTGTGGAAATTTCCATGAAGAGAATTGCTGGCCCCTTTGTGACTCCTGCAAGCATCGCCATCTTAATGACTGCCCCCGACCCTGCTTTGAAGAGTCAGTATACCGATTCAACCTTCATGAGAAGCCGATGCTAATATAGATATAGAGCAGAAGAGATGTGGGGAGTGTGGAAATTTCCATGAAGAGGATTGCTGGCCCCTTTGTGACTCCTGCAAGCGTCGCCATCTTAGTGACTGCCCTCCTCCGTAACTGGCACCAAGCCTCTGTCTCCTCCTGCTGCCTCCGCTTCCAAGAGTCAGTATATCGATTCAACCTTCATGAGAAGCATCTAGTGGCAATGCTAATATAAATATAGAGCAGAAGAGATGCGGGGAATGTGGAAACTTCTACAAAGGAAATTTCTGGCCCCTCTGTGACACCTGTGGGCGTCGCCATCTCAGCGATGGCCCACCCTGGCGCCCCAGCCCATGGTTTTTAACGGTGGTGCACTCGTGTCCATAACTGGCACCACGCCTCTATCTCCGCCCGCTGCCTCCGCTTCTAGAAGTCAGTATCGATTCAAACTTTATGAAAAGCATTGAGGAGTGGCGATACTAATAGTTGGATATAGAGCGGACGTTGTGGGAACTCCCACACGGGGCAGTGCCGGCCCTACTGCCACAGTTGTGGCTTCCGGCATGCCGGAAAATGCCGGCCTCCCGCCACGCCCGCCAACACCACCACCAGCCAAGAAGGCCCGGCGGTTGTCTGGAACGGTGGTGTTCACATCACCGTGAACGCCCCCCGCCTCCTCGCTCCTCCTCGGCGGGCGCCGCCCCTCCGCGCGCCAAGCCCACCAAGCCCGCCAAAAAGCCGCGTCGGCGGAAGCGCCCTGATAAGGACCAAAAAAAGGCCGCAATGGCCAAAAAGAAAGAGGGGGAGAAGAAGAAGAAAGAAAGGAGGCCGACGCCAGCATCAGTATAGGACAAACGATACCACTGCTGCTGCTGCTGCCGCGGCCACCGCTCCCACCGCTCCCACCGCCGACCCGCCTGCCCCCGCCACAAACAGTCAGTACATGGATTCAACTTTCATGAAGAAGCATTCGAAGAGTGGCAATACTAATACTTGGATATAGAGCGCAAATTATGCCACATCTGTGGCAAGTCCCACATAGGGGCCAGTAGTCCCCTATGTGGGACTTGCCGGCGCCGGCACCCGGCCGAGAAAACATGCCGCAAAGCCACCAACCGCCAGCCACCAACGGTGGTTAATAACTACACCTTCAACGGTGATGGCCATGCCATCACCATATCCGCCCACCCAATATCTGCAGGCGCCGTCCCCCCGCCTGGCAAAAAGCAGAAGAGAAGAAAGCGGCCAAACAAGGCCAAGAACAAGGTGGAAGAGAAGAAGGAAGAAAAGAAGGAGAACGACGCTGAGCCGGCGCAAGAGGGTGAAAAGCCTAGCTCCGAGTGAGCTTGTATAAATTAACAATATATGTATTATTCATGTATATAGTATTTTTCATCAATTGAATCAGTTATTCAAAAAAAAAAAAAAAAAAAAAAACCTTTCGTTGTAGTCTACTGTTGGGTACAATACCGTATGTAGTCCTCAACGTATGGATTGTCATCGAAAAGTGATCTCGATACTAACTAGGAGGCATTGTGATGAGTCGCTGCAAGATGGTATGTAACCTTACCAGCAGGGCTGACATCCACCCAAATTGTATAATCAACAACACAAGCGTCTCACGGATCGAGTTTACCAGAAACGATTGACTTCTAGGTTAGAAAATCTTTTGGGATCAGCTAGGAAACACTGAGCGGGATTGCCAGCATACTCAGACATGATCGATTCAGACATGCAGTCTGGCAATACTGCCAGACGCGCTATGGAGAGAAGATGTTAGATGCATAAAAATGAAGAATACTATCGATGCCACGGACGAAGTATCTAGCTAGTCGAGAAAGGTGATGCGCTTGATGATGTGGACAAGGTGTCGATGCAGCTTCATGACGATGGGTCTTCTAATTTTCCTGGAGCTGTCCTCATCATGCGAGGTAGTATCGACTATGTACGGCGGACTGAATGTACAAACCGGCCAAAATAAATTTTTTACTGTCACCCACTTGTATTACTTATAGCCACTACTTCCACAGAGAGATGATTATAAAATAAATGCTTAGTGACTATTGCTATATAGTAGGGATTTGAATGGTCATATAGTAGGGATTCAAATTGTCATATAGTAGGGTTTCGAATCATCATATAGTAGGGATTCGAATCGTCATATAGTAGGGATTTGAATTGTCATATGGTAGGGATTCGAATCACCATATAGTAGGGATATCGAATGATTTGAATCGTCATATAGTAGGGAT